TTGTCATTGATTAGGGTGAGTCATTGATTTTTTTATCAAATTACTAGGTCATTATTCCTACTACATGAGTAAATCGAATTAAATTGAATAATTTAGTTGAATACATCAATCTCTATAACAAAACTATATAGTTATTAAATAGTTTAATTATAGTTTTGGTTCCCTTATTTTTTCTAATTTACGAAATTGATCTCCCTATTTTAAATTTAAACAGTTTAGGTCCCTATTTAAGATTTAAACCGTTTTGACCCCTCTCTCATACTTTTGCACTTAAAATTAAAGAAGTTTTCACTTTTTAAACGATAAATTACTTGTAAAATATGAGAAATTATTGTATATAAATCTATTATTTAACTTTGTAAATAAAAATATAAGTTAAAAAATAAAAAATCTCATTGATTTTTTAGGAAAACATGAAAGGAGACTAAAACTGTTTCAATTTAACAAAACTGTTTGAATATTTTTTTTAAAGTTGATTTTTAATACTTTTACTAATATAATATATTTAAAAAAATAATATTTTAATTTTTTTTATAGTTAAATCTATAAATAATTGAAGTTAATTTCAATTTTTTATTGAATAATCTTAACTTTTAGAAGAAAATCACAATTTGAGGATGTTATTTTTTTTAAATGACTATGAATACTTTTAATAATAGAATATATTATATGATTGTATCTTTTAATGCTTTTTATAATAGAATATTTATATGATTATATAGTTATGCCAACAATGATAATGTAAAGAAAATTTTGATATGATGATTGATTTTCATTAAATAGAATTTAATAGGTAGTTATTTGTTCTCGTTTCTCACATTAGCAAAATGTTTTCATTAGCGTCTAGTAGAATAATTTATTCTCTTTATTTTTAAAATTAATTACAAATTTAAATTTTATGTTCACCTAATTTTCTATATTAACACTTGCATTTAAATAATTTTTTGAGAGATATTTTCAAAAGGTAAACTCTCTGTTACACAAGCTTTGGTTGAATATAGATTACCTTTAGTTAAAATCATTTTTAATTTTTAATTTTCTTAAAATAATATAATATTAAAATTGATTTTGAATTAAATGACATTATTTTTTTGAATTGTGCTTATCTATTGTTTATCTCTGATTTTAGTAAACAATGCTGGTCTCTTAATATAAAATTTATTGGCGAGATCGACTAGGGAATCTTAGTACAGTGTTTCACTTTTCGAGTGTTTTCATAAAGTATGTTCAAAAAAGCAATAAAGCAAGAATCGTAACAAAGACGTTTTAAACTGTAAAAATAGATGACATAACATTAAAATAATTTAAAATGGGTTGATTCAAACATACATCGCTCGTGCCTGACTCATTTCGCTCGCTCACTTGGGTACTCTGAGTGACTAGTGTGTAGGAATGTGAAAGTTTGAATCCCTTACACTATGCACTAAGTGCTTTATTTATAATACATAAAAATAACAACTTTTAAGTGGGCTTCTTTTCTCTATGAGCCATGTGTCTCTTGTAACTTCCCCCCATGAATCCACGTTCTCCATTCTTGCTATCGAATCCATGTTTTCCATTGTAACTTCCCTTCATAAAACTGTGTTCTCCATCCCTGCTATCGAACCCACGTTCTCTATTCACAATGTTTTGCTTTGCTAGTTATGCCCTCTTTTGGACTTTTTAACTTCTTTGGCCCAATCCATTCCTCATGAGGCCTCTCTTCTGGTCGACTGCGTCTACAAGCCCAAATTGGCCTTTTATGAAACCTGATCCAGTCGACTGCTTCTATGGTCGACTTCCTATAATCCAAAATCTTCAAAGAACCCTTTTTGCTTTTGGTTGGATTTTGACCCCTTTGTAAAAATCCTAGCAAACAAATTGTCCCCCAAAATATCATTTTCGAATGAAAGAACAAAAAAGGACATTTTAATCATTTTCTCTTAGTGTGAAGTGACACCATCGTAATCATGACCTTTTCCCTCAAACGTTACATTAGAGATCACAACCAGTTCCCTATTTCTAGTTTCAACTTCCTAGAATAATCATGGCCTCCAACTCACCAACTTCTTCAACTCAGTTGCCACCTGTTTGACATGTGCCGGTCGTGTAGCCATAATTTATTTTCTTCTCCCCAATGTTTAGTCTCCTTTGTGGTATAAATACCCCTTTCATCTATCTGATTTCCTCTTTATGTTTCTTTGCATACTCAAACTCTTTTTCTTTGTACACCACAGAACTTTTCATCTTCACTTTTACCCAGAAAAACTTTCAATCATCTCCATGTCCGCTTCAAGCCAAATCTCTGAACATATTCAAACTCCCTAGAAAATTGAACTGGTTTCCAACATGAGTGAGTTCTTTGTTCATGATCAAAACACCTTTGTCTTAGAACCAACGCCAACACGCAATCTCCAAAGTTTTTGCTCCCAGTTGTTGCTTCCCTTCATCCGCAACGACACTGCTTACGCTATACTGGGGCCTATTCCTAATGAGGTTAGGGTACCTAAACACTTGGAAGGCTGCTTCCCTACTCACAAAACCACCAAACCCCCTGTCAACAGAGATTTCCCTATAGATTTTTCACACATCTACTGTACATCTAAAGTCTTTCGTTCTGCCCCTGTTGTCAACCAAGATTACATTGCATGGTTAAATAAAATAGAAAAAGTGAAGGGTGACGTTTGGAAGACTCAAGGCTTTTTTGACTTGATTCAGCTTTCTAGGGTTAGGCCTAGTTATTGCAATCACAAGTTGACTTCCTAACTCTACTCCTGGGAAAGCTCTACAAACACCTTTCATTTTGTAGTTGGATGCTTATGCCCATCCTGTTTGACATTGCGGCCATCACTGGTCTCCGCCCTACAGGTGAAGCGTTTCTTCCCATTGAAGCAGACGAAAACGTTATTCCTTTTGAAAAAGACATTAATGGCTTCACTAAATATATGGAGCGTTTTCACGCCAAAGGTGTCAAAATTGTGTTTGATGAAGAACACATTGCCTTCTTGGCTTTGTGGCTCTCCAAGTATGTTTTCTACAGTCGATCTCT